CACCTACTCCGGAATTTGTGCACATTTTCTGTCTTCCACTTCACTGTATTCCACTTCACTGTCCACCATCTTCCACTTTCGTTTTATTTTTTTCCGTAAATATTGGAATTCGCAAACTTTCGTTCCAATTTCTGTTTAATTTTCAAATTTTGAATTTTCAGCCTGTTTTTCAATTCCGTTCTTCCAGGCTGTCTCCATTTCTTCAGAGAGTTAAGGCGGGTTTTCGAGAGGGAGAGACGTTTGTTTGGTTGGGGGGGGGGGGGGGGGGCGGGGGTTGTTTGGGGGGGGGGGGGGGGGGGGGGGGGGTGGGCCGGGGGAGGGGGGGATTGAGGGGGTTTGGAAACAGTGTGTTTGATGAAGGGGCTGACACAATCTTTGCTGCGGGCTTGTGCTTGCAGGCCATAATGGCAGGGAAACACAATGCGTCAGTGGTGAAGAGAGACTCACGGACCATGGGCCGGCTGGCACAGACCTTTCATCCTTGTGCAGGGGCCATGCTAATCTTATTTCTCTGTATCGTTCCGAATTTCACGGATGTCCCGAAGGACAATTTAATAAAACTTCAAAATGCATACAGGTGCATCTGCTGTCTCAAAAAAACAAAAACAAATTTGCGGCGCACTGCTGGCGCACGTGCGCTACCCCTGTGCACTGCTGCTCAGCACTGTGAGTGCACAGCGCATCAGCCACCAGCGCATAGCACACTCAGTGCGCTGCAGTGCACACACACGGGGGTGTCACACACAGCACATAGCGCCCCGCATCGCCTCGCTCACCGCACCTGTGCGCCACAGGTATGATGTCAGTCTGTCCTTCTGAACTACAAATGCAGTGTGACACAGATCAGTTGTCAGTCGGAGTCAGTCCTGCAGTCTGATCGGATTTCCAGTACAATAACCGATCTCCTTTTTTTTTTTGCATCAGGTCCCTGGAGAATTTTTTTGGTTTGATTAGACCCCATTGGACTTCTGATTTATGAGCCCCATTGGGGTGGGGAAATGCTGTTTAAAATTGTGTGCTGCATGTGCAAGGAACATGAATATGGACGAAGCACAGAAATCCAGAATGCAAATTCACACTGAAGTCCAAGTAGTCAAAGCCAAAGCAGATAGCACATGGAACCGAGTAACCATCCAATTGAGAATGATACAGAAGAATCGTGAGTCAATGTCCATGCCCAACAGCGCAACACCAACAGCATAACCCAAATGTAGCTCTCTCTTGCGAATGGCGCCAGGCGCCCTATCTACTCAACAGCCTATCCTACAACTACAGCAATGAAAAGCAACTAGACAACTTGACTACCAGCGAGTGATGATGTCAACACCAATGCCGACCTCCACCTCCTCCAGGTACATGTCCTCTTCCCCACACTCTCCCTTGTTACCCACACAGCGCCCTTCTCCTCAGAAGACCACCTTCGCCCTTCACCTCTCTGCACCCTCTTGCCGCCCGGCTATGGCTGCCAGTGCCTTGCATGCAGGCAGCGTCCTACCACCTAGCGCTGCCCTGCTTGCTCTTAGCGCAGCACTGCCTTGCACAGCGCAGCACACATGCATCCGCGCAGCGTGCCCGCAAGTGCCCGCATTGGCCAAGATCCCTGCTGCCTTGCCCTGCTTGCCTATATGCCAGTGCAGCGTGTGGGCGGCCTCCCTTCAGCCTCTGACCGGGACCCAGAGGCTGAACTCAGCCTGATACAGTTGGGCCCGGGGCAAAGCAGTTGCACCTCCCTCATCAAGGCCTGCGGCCAGATTCAGACAGTGGGCCGATTTCCCTTTGGCATTTTCGGCCTCTCTACCCAGCATGCATTGTCGGCCTCACCTTCGACTGCCCAGGGCCTAACTAACTCAGAGGCCCTGGGCATTTCAGCATTTGCTGAAATCCGAGACTCGGTGCACTCCAACCAACTGGCGTGCTGCAACTATATAGACCCCACTTCGTGAAATGTTGGCATAGAGGGCTCTTGTTGATTTGCTGGCCCGCCTTCACTTAGGGCGGGCACTAGGCTTGCTGGGGCCTTAGACCAGAACATGTACATCATGGCAAGGCCCCTACTTGAGGGCTCAATCCTCACACATGTCTGTGTTCCCCCTCCCCACGCCCTTGTGTTCTCCCTGAATCTGACCGCCTGTTAAGTCCTACATCAGCATCATTGACACAGCTGCAGCAGTGCCACGTCAGTGACACATCAGCATCGGTGCCATGTCAGTCATGCAACGTCAACCAATTTGTGAGCAGCAGTGCCACATCAGTCGTGCTGCGTCAGCATCATCCCAGCAGCAGTGCCACATCAGCAACATGTCAGCCAGGGCTGTGCCACGTCAGAGATACATCAGCTACCGCTGTGCCACATCCCCAGCTTACCTTACAGGGACAAACCCTGAGAAGACCTAAAGCCAAATTCCATGGTACTACAGAATTGTGAACATTACTCTTCCTACCAGCAGCAAAAAACAGGTGAACAGGTCATTTAGTTTTTCAGAGTTTGTCTTAAACAGATACAAGCAGGTGCAGCCAGCGCAGCTCCGCCAGCGAAAAAAGTCAGGAAGCAACCCCAATGAAGAATCTCACTTTGCTCTTTCTGTCTCTGACTCTATGTTTTCTTTGTTAGTGTATGGCTGGTGCTTTCTGTATCACTGTTTTAGCTCTTAGCGTCTTCTGTCTTTCTAAGTGTTTGTGGAAAGCAGAATAGTAAACAGCAA